CCCTGGATGGAGGAGGTGAGCAGTGCTGAGCTTCCCAAGCTGTCTAAATTCATGTCTGACCCACGTCAGACCTGCTAACAGGGAACTAACTTGAGAGAAGGGACAGGATGGAGTGCCTGGTAATGGCAGTGGGGGCAGAAAAAGGGTAGCCAGGTGGGGAAGGGACCCCACCCTGGCCACGAACCCTCGCCGGCCTGTCTCCTCATCTGTAGGAGGAAAGCATGGGGCAGAGTGCCGACTCTCTCAGCTGTGCTGAAGGACACAGATGTCACCTGGCTTGGGGATGTGGCAAGGCAGCAGAGTGGCTGTATATGCCAGCAACAGTTCAGAGTCTTCAAGGGCTTCCCTATGGAGTCCTGGTGGCGCAGTGGTTAAAAGCTCAGGCTGTTACCAAAAGGTCAGCAGTTCGAAGCCACCAGCCGCTCTTTGGAAACCCTGTGGAGCAGTTCCACTCTGTCCCATAGGGTCACTATGAGTCGGGATCGACTGGATGGCAATGGGTTTGGGTTTTTTTGTTTACTTATCCGGACAAAGAGAAGTCAGGCTTTGGTGAACAAGAGCTATGTCCCTACATCTGTTGGTCAGCAGGACAAGCGTCCATGAGCTGGGGCTTCATGCTGACTGCTGTCAGGGCAGGGAGACGGATGGGGCCTAATCCCACAACAGGAAGGAGAGGCAGGAGATGCCACTGGCCAGCCGCTGAGCGTGGGGCTGGGACAGGCCTCTGCTCCTGAGCTGAGCTGGCCGCTCACCTCTCGTGCCCCAGGGTGCATGGCTGGGGGCGAGGCTGCTGCAGTCTACCTTTAGGACACAGAAGGCCACAACCCGGCCCACATGTCCTGAGACGACACTGCCCTCTTCTGGCCAGTGATGGAAGGTCCAGCTTGCAGCCCATCAGCCACATGCTGCCTGCAGTTGGGCGACCCAGCCCTGGGACATCCTTGGATCATACCGAAGGTGGTTCTGAGGGGTCACAAGGCACCTCACCATAGGGCACCCCACACCTAATCAGGGAGGAGGCCACAGGTGTGGAGGGGTGTCCTAGCTGCTTTCCACATCCTGGGGCCCTGGTGGCGCGGTGGTTAAGAACTATGGTGTGCTACGGCTGCTAACCAAAAGGTCAGCAGTTCGAATCCACCAGCCGCCGCTTGGAAATCCCACTCTGTCATACATGGTTGCTGTGAGTCGAAACTGACTTGACAGCAGTGGGTCTGGTTTTTGGGGTTTTTTTCCCCGCATCTTGGGTCCCTCATCTCCAGCCCTGTGAGGTGAGACTGCTGATGGTCCCAGGGGAGGCAGAGACTGCGACAAAGCAGGCCTGACACGGGAGTCCAGCACAAGAGTGGGTCCACCTCGGGGAACAGCCTCCCAGAGGATTTAAACACAGGCAGCGCGCCCCCTGGCGGCCCACGGGCAGCTCGCCGGCCCTTAGTGCCTTCACTGGCCTTGGGGAATCTAGTCTCCAGAGCTTACACGGGGCGATCTGGGGCGGGGGCGGAAAGTGCCAGCCACACTTGTGTGCACACTCACCTGCTTGGGGCTGAATTTGTGGGGAGGGGCTTCTGGGGCCTCACACTTAGGAAGGGTTTCAAAAAACCTTAGACATTGTCCTTTGTGTTAGTGTGCTAAGAGCATTAATTTGCAAGCGCACCACACTTCTGTAACCCCGTTTCAGAAGACAAAACCAAAAAGCCACAAGTGGCTCCTCTAGGGTCATGACTTGGCAATGGGGTTCATGGTGACCCAGGGACACAGCAGGTAAGTGCCACAGCATCACAGCCCCAGGCCCCACGAGAGGCCTTGTGGCTTTGAACCAAGTCCAGAGAGGACTTGAAAACACACCAAAGGCCCGTCCCTCACCCTTGGCTCCACAGCGAGCAGGTGGGGCCATCCAGTCCAGACAGACAGGAAGGGGTCCACAGGCCTTGCTGTGAGGAGGGGCCTCTCCCCCGTTCTCGGGTGGCCAGCTTGACCTGCAGTAAGAACCAGTGTGCCCAAATTTACAGGCCCCACTGGTGATGACCGTAGCCGTGGCCCAGTTCAGGAAGAAGCTCCTCGTGCTGTAAGGACAACAGAGGAAGGTGGGCCTGGCCAACTTCAAGCCCCACCCTGGCACACTCATAGGGGACTCTCTGGGGCTGAAAACGAAACACGAAGGCCTCACAAGTCCAGAGTTGTCCGCAAATACACCAGGCCTGGCTTGCGCTCTGCCTGTGGTTCTGAGCTCCAGCCCAGAGGCAACACCTGTCTGCTGGATGGTCCAGGGGCACACTAAGGGGGGGCCTCGGGGGCCTGCCCAGCTCTGGTGGTGAGCATCACTGCTGGAGCTTGTGCCCGCTGAGGGCTCACACTGTCTGGGCTCCACACTCAGCACTGCACTCATCATCAGCGAAGCCTCCTCAGGGTGAGGTGCTGGCTAGTAGAGCCCCTACTCACGACTGATGGAGAAACTGAGGCTCACAGAGGTAGCCACGCACCTGGGGCGGGGACTCGAACTCGGGACCCTCTGTGCTCATTACCAGACTTTCTGTATGTGTGTGTGGGGGGTGAGTACACAAGTCTGGGATTGTGGGTAGAGGAACAGACTTCTATCCTCCAAAGAGCCCCATTACTAAATGTTAAAATGTCTCTGATGCCTTTTTATCCAAGGTGAAAGGACAGGGACCCAGACTATACCCCCGTGACAGACGTCCCAGAACACATACACCACTCTGGGGGACACTCAGATTTAGGGAAATATTTGCACTATGCTCCTATTTTGGCTCCACACCTTCTGATGAAGTATTGTGGCTTCTGTGTTGAGATAACAGAGTGATCTGTTGTTTCCCAGATGCAGGAGGCGCTTGGCAGATCAATTTCAATAAAACAATGGATTTTAAGTGCCACCAGCAAGCTGGCAGTAACAGCAATAACAAAACATGTTGTACTAAATACTGCATAATAAATTGACTATAATAACCTCGCAATTATTCTACTGGCTGCATTTCAAAGTTAGCACTAGAAAAATAAAAATAAAATCACCAATTTGGGTCAGCATTAATACCCATGGGCTTCCCGGGATCACTCAAGAGTCTGAAGCTGCAACCGGGAGACAGGTACGTGCACTGCCCAAGAGAGCCGAGGCCGAAGCATCTGTGCCGCGTGAGGGCCTGACTGTAGGGGATCCCGCCACCAGGGGCCACCCCAGGAGTACAGCTGGCTAGAGCTATCACCAGGGCAGCTGGGAGCCACAGAATAGCTGGGCCTCTGCTCTGCCCTGTCCTCCTAGCCCAGCCAGACTGGCCCACAGGGTCAAAGAGCACTGGAAATGTTTCAGGGGTGAGAGTCCCGAAGGCAGCCAGGCGGTCTCCCTTTGGGGCCAGCAGTGGCTCGGCCACGGCCCAGAGGGTAGGGGCTCCCATCCTTTCTTTCCCTGGTTTCCAGCTGAGCCAAGTTTGGAGCAGCCAGCCCCTCCCTGCTGGACAGAGGTGGTGCCCCCACACTCTGGTTCCACAGCTCACACCTGGACATTGAACTTTCCTTGTGTCTCAGTCACCTGGCCTGTAAACTGAGGGTGAGATACCTACGCCTCATGGGGTCAGAGTGAGGACTGGATGAGAAAATCTACATAGGAGACATGCCTGGGGTCAGGTACGGGGTGGGCTCTGGCAAGGTCACGCCTGCCCTTGGCTCCCAGGCCAGGAAGGACATCAGACACTGCAGGAGGGTCCCAGCCCTGGGCACGGCCACTGCCCTGACCAAGCCCACTGTCTGTGGGACCCACTGGACCCCATGGGCGAAACAGATAGTGAGCTCTGAGGGGCTGGTGCCATCAGGCAGGCCTGGAAGCTGGGACTCAGGCCCAGTGGGCCCCGCAGAGTGGCCAATGAGTTACAGTACTACTGCCCACCTCTCTGGCCACTTTGGCATCACCCCTCTGCATGCTCCCACCTCTCAGCCTGCTGGGCCAGGCCCCTGGGAGAGGGGGCACATGGGCTCAGCACCTGCCTTCCTGATCCGCCTCTTTTACTGCCGTGTTTTCTCCACTCAGATGATAAACTGAGGCTCAGGGACAGAAGGAAGAGGCTGTTTCCTCCTAGAAGGATAAGCTGGGATCCTGCCAATGGTGGTCTAAGCCAGAATATTCTATCCACCACTGACCTCAAGCAAGCAGAAGGGCTGTGGCCAGTCTTGGTGCCCACGTCCCCTGTGGGGAGGGAGGGGCTTGGGGCTGGGCAAGTTCCTGCAAATACTTGGCAATGGCGGTTCAGAACGCAGCTGTCTCCCAGGGCAGCCAGGCGGCAGCCTGCGGTCTGCACACACGCACTCATGCCCCTCTGTGGATGCCCGTGACTGCGAGGCTCTGAGGGAGCCATGTCCAAGAGCAACAGGATGAAAAGCGGCCTAAGAGCGGGACCGTGTACCCCATTGGCCGACCACAGCTGATGGCCATGACTGAGTGGCCTGGCCGGGCTGTGGCCAGGCCCCACGCCCAGCACCTCCTGACTCTCAGCAGCCCTGCACGGGCTGCCCTGACTGGCCGTGGAACCTGCCCACACCTGCCTAGTCATCACCTCCACGAAGAGCCGTGGCACATGCAACAGTGCTCAGGAAAGCCATGCACACAGGCCGGGGGCAGAGAGCCACCTCTGACGTGCTGGTTCAGGTGGTGTCTGTGCCCCAGCCTCCTGGGACCGAGTCTGGTGGGGCTCATCTTCCCTGCCTCCAGAGCGAGGTGCCCAAGTCACATGCCACAGAGGTGCTTGTGAATGTGCGAGAACGGGCTGGGGACAGTTTAGGCCCTCCTCAGAGCCTACTGTCCCAGGGTCCCAGAGAGGACCATGCCTCAGCCCCTGCAGGACAAGTACCCCTCAGTGCTGACTTGCGGGGTGCAGGCCCTTGGCCCTGGCAGAGAAGGCACCACGCAGGGGGCCTGCGGCTTTGGCAGAGAAGTCTGGCGACGGCAGGCCTGGGAGCTCGCTGTGGTCAGCCCGGCCAGGGCAGGGACTGGCCTTACTCACCACATGTCTCCGTCCTGGATCGTGCGGTCGTTGGGAGCCCCGGCATGTCCGTAGTGCAGCACGCCTGAGTTCTCACCACTGCGGAGAGAGAGGGTGCTCCATACCCATCCTCACCCGGCGGCCCCCGCGGGGCTGGCACCCCAACCCCCGCCCCTGGACAGTGCCATCTGCCCTACAGGAGAGGCCCAGGGGCGGCTGGGCCAGGCCTCACAGGGGGTGGGAGGCACAGTGGCCTGGCGTCCCTGCAGCCCCGCACTGGGCAGCCGGCCTCTCGGCTCACGGCCTGGGTGCCTGCAAGCGGCCCTCAGGCTGGTGGCCTCTGGGTTGGGGGTGGGGCAGAGTGGAGGCCTTCACAATGGGGGCAGCACGTAGAAAGAAGAACAAAAACGGGGTGCAATGGCTGTGGGTCTGGGGAGGGGTCTCCTGGGAAACCCTCTTTTCCTGGTGGCTAAAGGGAGAGGGCGGAGCCCTGGTGGCGCAGTGGCTAAGAGCTTGGCTGCTAACCAAAAGGTCAGCAGTTTGAATCCACCAACCGCTCCTTGGAAACCCTATGGGGTAGTTCTACTCTGTCCTATAAGGTCGCTATGAGTCGGAATCGACTCGACGGCAGCGGGTTTGATTTGGGTTTTAAAGGGAGAGGGGAGTGCAGAACAGGGGCTAGGGCAGAGCCAGCACCCTGGAGTCCTGTTCTGCCAGGAGAGGAAGCCAGCGGCCTCCAAGCTTCCCGAATGAGAGACGCCTTTAAGAAAAAAAAAGGACTTTAAAGTCTCTCCAAAGGAAAAAAACCCACCTGGGTGTAATATTTATGGCCCCGTTCGGGAGTCTCAGGAATCATAAAAGTAGAAATAATGATTTTTCTCTCTATCCACCAGAGAAGAACATTTCCGGGGACTGAGATGTTTGCATGTGTTATTCATGTGCTGAGGCCGTGCGCATCAGCAGTGAGCTGGCCGGCTCCGTCCTGGCTGGGCAGGGCCACACCTGAGGGGCTGAGCTTGGGCAGAATCTGGGGGACCTTATGCAGTGAGCTGGGAGACACCTGCAGTGGTACCCTTAGCCCCGCATACCCACACGGAGCCCCTACCACACACAGGAGCAGTCCTGGCTGGAGGTCCCAGGCCAGCCCCGTGAGTGTGTGTGCCTGAGTGGTGGGGGCAAAGGGAGGGGCACCCCGCCAACCCCAGGGCCTGCAGGGCCCCAGGAGGAGGCGCCTGCTCAGGGATCAGCTTCCAGCCTAAGCTCCTATGCAGGCCATGCTCACGCCCTCAGGCTGCCCGACTGGGAACCGGAAGGGAGGCAGTGGCAGGGTGGCTCCTGTGCAGGGGTGGGGGGGCAGGGTCTCCCTCCTTCACCCCACCACTGGGCCCGACCCCCCGAGCGAAGCAGGCCCAGACAACCTCGGCTCCCTGAGGCTGAGGAGGGAAGAGCGACTTCCAAGCTTGGGTGGCTAGACCCTGGTGTGGGCATCTAAGCTGTGGGGGAACTTAGGAGGGTGGGGAAGGTGCGGCCCACTCCACTGAGCACCTAACCCCCTCCTGGGACCCAGGTGCCCTCTTACCTGCCGCAGATGCAGGTGTAGGAGCTGTGGCGCATGCCGCCTCGGGAGTAGCAGTAATGCTCGAAGAGGCTGCGGGGGAAGGGAGGTGTGTCAAGGCAGAGTCACGGGGGCTGCACGCTGTCCCCGTGCCCTCTCCCCCACCAAGTGCAAGGCCTCAGCCCAGGCCTTGCTCTGGCCATGTTCCCAAGGCTGCCTGACGTCCCCAGATCGGGTCTGTGACTCCTGGAGCCTGGGGTCAGCCACAGAACCACAAAGGGCAGCGCAGAGGGAGGGAGGCTGGAACTCAGAGGCCAGCAGGGACCAGCCACTGGCTGGAAGAGTTGACTGGCCTCGAACACCATGGTCCTGCCCCAGCCTCCCAGGCCAGGACAGACGAGACCAGGGCAGGGGCCACACACGTTTCTGCAGGGCTGAAGGAAGCGCCTCCTGGTAACTCCTGTGTCAGGCAGCCACGCCCCACCTCACCAGGTGGGACTGGACACACGGCCAGAGAGGAACACAAGAGACCTTCTAGTCTTAGAACCGTACCTGGATTTGCCTGAGGAGGGCAGAGTGCAGGAGAGGGGCACAGGAGCTGGTCCAGAGGTTAGGCCAAGGGGACTGCAGGGCAGGGCCATCTCCAGGGACAGGGAGAGAGGCAGGGGCTGGGAGCAGGCCCTGCTTCTCTCTGCTAGGGACAAATAGCACACAGGTTGGGTTCCTCAGGTGAGATCCCACCCTGGGCAGGTGGGGCAAGGAGCAAGGTCTGGAGGAAAAGACAAGACCCCAGCAGGAGGCCGCTGGCTACGTGGGCCCCCAGGCCAGGGCTAGAGCCATGGGGGAGGCCTTCCAGGAGAGTGGAGGCCAGCAGAGCCCAAGCGTGGGGAGTGTGCACAGGAGGTTGGAGGATGGCCCGGCCCTCGCAAAGGCCGGGCAGTGGGGACAAGCGCAGCGGCCAGGGGGTAGATCCTGGAGATGGCTGCAGGGGCTGGTGGATGGACTGGCCACATCAAGACCCAGTCAGCAGTGCTGGACCCCAGGGAGGCTCCTCACTCTCTCCCCTGCCATATGCTCCAGGATCTATGTACGGGACTCAGCTCCAAGGGGACTAAGCTGTGCCTCAAGTTCTGCCCTGGTCTCTCAGGCACCCCATGTGCCTGCCTCTGCGGAACCCAGCTGGTGAGGGGGGCAAGGGAGGGGAGCTGCCTTCACCCCCTCCCCAGGGCCCTGGCCCCAGCTTGACCCTGGCTGAGAAGCAGGCTCAGGCACCCCCACCCTGCCCACCTGCCCCCAGGCAGGACTTAGAAGAGAAACAATCGCAGGGTGGTGCCGCTGCCCATCCTCAGAGCAGCAAATATCGCTTTAGCGATGTCCACGTGGAAGAGTTTAATCTTCCAGGCACTGTAAACATCAATTACGTGTAATTGTTATGACTGGGTGTTAACTCGTTGTCATGCAGGAATGGTTCTGCTGGATGCAACTGGCTTGCAGGCTTGCCTTCCAAACCTCACAGGTAACTGGGCATCTACAAGCAAGATATTTCCTCAGCACGAAGGATTTCAGGAACTGCCAGGGAGGCAAGCAAAGCCACACACACCCCTGCCAGCTGCCCCCATGTTCATTGTGGGAGCATACACATCTCTGCCACGAAAGCAGCTGGCAGCAACTTCCGCCTCAGTCTCCAGGGGCCACGAGGACAGTGAGACCCACGTAACTGCAACGAGAGTGCAGCTACAGCTGACATGTTCCTTCAGAGCGGGGCAAAGGCCAGCCCTCCACCCCGCACCCGTGTGAAGCCCTCTGATCTGCATCTTCAGAAACCTGCTCCATGTCTCCTTGGCACCCCGACCTAGAGACCAGAGCCTCAAACAACCAGAACCCCCCAGAGCGAGCCCACACTTGATGGGAGATGCTCAGAACATGCCATGGAGCTGTGGGGCTCCTACAGCTTTGGGAAGCACACCTCTACCCCAGGAGGCCATTCTCGAGGGGGTGTGGACAGCCGGGCTCTGCTGTGGCAGGCGACACGCAGGGGCTCAGCCAGGACGCACCAGGAATGGCAGGCTTCAGAAGGTTCAGAAAGAACTTCCGCTGGGTGTTCCAGGTAGCGCCAGTCTGGGACCAAGTGTTTGGTTAATTCCTGGCTTGGGGGTTTCCAAACCATGCAGGTAGTTCAAACTTGAGCGTGAAACTCATATGAATTCTGAGGATTTTTTTTTTTTTAACTCATTGCCCAGGCTGTGCCATCACACATGCTGACGGGCCAACAAACAGGTTCTGCTGAGAAAGAGGTGGCAGCCTGGGGAAGCGGCATGTTTGGCTCCCTCCCCGCAGCCAAGCTCAGAAGGAGGCGCTTCTCCAGCACAATCCCCGCAGCACAGACAACCTTCATTCCAGGCCGAGGCTTCAGTTTAAAGAAAAAAGTAATTTAGAGTAAAAGGCGCAGCTTATAAAAGCACTCAACTAGGGAAAGGCTGACCCAGTTTTCCCCCGTTCAAACTGCAGCCCAACGCCGGCTCGTTTCTGCCAACCACACGCACAATTCCACATAGGCACAAAGGAAGAGCTGAAAAGACGAGGGGCACGCTGCATGCTGGAGAGTCACTCTAGCCTGAGAGAGTTTAGAATCCTGGAACATTGGACTTCAGCGCCTAATTTTGCTTTAAATTCTCTTCCCTGGCACAATGCGAGGGCAGACTGGTGCTTTGGTGACCATGGCAGGTGGATGCAGCCATGGGGTCCCGCCTTCCTGCTCGTGTGTGTCAGAGCCACCTCTCCCTGGTACCTTGTTGCCCGAGCTGTGAACAGAGGCACCCAAGGTCTGGGGCAAGTGCAGGTGACTTGGGGCCCATGGACAGATGTGAGTCTGACCCATTCTGAGTTTTTAGGGGCTGGGGGCTGAAGCATGGATGCTCCAAACTGGGGCCACGTGCTTGCCACGGGGCAATCTGTGGCTCCAGCATCGCTTGATGAGAGTTCAGAGAGCAGAGCTGGGACCACCAGGAACAAAGTACAGGCCATGAGAACAGACTGCAGTGACCAACGGATTTCCCATTTGATTGCTCACACACCAAGGCTGCAGCAGAAGGACGCTTAATAAAGATGCCTCTATGCCTCTATGGAAATAGGGTAAACAGTAAGCCAGACATGGGGGTCCAGTGGATTTATAACCAGAGGGGTCTAGCTATCGACCGACCAAAGTCTATGGCCAAATCCAGCTGTTCCATCAGCCCTGGAACAATAAGATGGTAGCAGACTATTCAGACAAAAACTCTCCTACCTCAAACACTTAGAGGTGCTGCATAAATTATAACAAATGGAGCTGGGTTCCTAAGAAAGGAAGAAACTGAGGCCAGGAAGGAAGAGGAGGCTGTCAGTCTTGGGGACCCAGAGCCCCTGGCTTTAACTGCTAGGTGGAGACAGGTGACAGGCCTTGGTCATGTGGAAGGTAGGTGGCTGAAACAGATCCCATACACACAAACACACACACACAGCTGGGACTTGCGCAGCGTTGTACCCTCAGGAAAGGGTGGACTCGAAAAAAATCACCACTGTCATAAGGCGGCAACAAGGACGCTTGCCTGGGCATTGAGTTAAAAAAAAAAAAAAAAATCCTCAGAATTCATATGAGTTTCACGCTCAAGTTTGAACTACCTGCATGGTTTGGAAACCCCCAAGCCAGGAATTAACCAAACACTTGGTCCCAGACTGGCGCTACCTGGAACACCCAGCGGAAGTAAACACGCCCGCAAGCTCAGCCAGTCAGGATCTGCACAAACAAAGCTTCTCCTACACGCACACTCACACACACACAGGAACTCACGATCCAAAATGATAAAACACACAATAGCCCCCAAGAGTTGTCAGACACAACCAACAGCAGGCTGGGACCTCCGAGGACTTCAGACAGTAGGACAATCAGACCGAGGCTACGAAAGCATATAAAATAATTAACACCTCAAAATACAGTATGAAAAAAAGAACAGGCAGATTTTAACAAGAACCAAAAAAAACCTCTAGAAATGCACAATACATCCATGAGAGGACAGGAGACAAAGCAAGCCCGGCAGTGTCACCCCGAGAGCCATCTCCACCCACTCTCGCAGTGAACCTGTAACTCTGTCACGCTACCCAAGTGTCATGCTTGGCCTGACTGCCCCAGCTCCCTCCTGCTCACCCTGGAAGGTGGATGGGGAGGGGGACACCCCACCAGGCCCATGGCCCAGTGGCAGGAAAGGCTTCCTGATGAGCAGAGGTGGGGCTGCCCACTGTGCCAGCCCACCAGCCCCACAGACATCTCTCCTGCCCTGTGGTTCCCACAGCTCTTCCCATATATCCATTCCTCTAACAAACACCCTGGCCTATAAATTTCTCTCAGGCAAGGCTCTGGTGGAAAATGCTTTGTATGCCAGCGTAAATGAGAACTTTTAAGTAACCTGGGAGAGCCTGTGCTGTGAATAATGAGGTGGATGCTTACTGTGGTGACAGAGGGGCAGGCCCATTTGTCAGTGCCCAGAAATGACTAATGGGGCAGGGACGGTGGATTCCGAGGCCCAGATCTGCAGGAACGGCGTCGCTGGGCCTCCCCCAGGGACCGGCAAATCCAACTCATGGAGCGTTTCTGGGCACACACCCCAGCTCCTGCCCTACGGAGGTTATCATCTAATGAGATAAACCACAGCCCTATAAAAACACATTAGCTGCCCAAGATAATGGCAGAGGGCTGCCCTGGGAAGCAAGTGCTGACCACGCTTTCAGCACACACTGTTAGCACAGGCCCAGTGGGGCCAGGGGTCCAGCGGAGGCCACGTGAGGCAGCAGCGGCCTCGCCATGTCATTCCCAGGTACCAAGCTCCCTCCAAGAGCCTCAGGTCCCAAAGGGTGGAGAGGGCGGTCAGGCCAGGCTGCAGAAATCACACAACAGGAAGGAGCGTGGAAGGGACAATGAGCAGGGGGTGGTGGAGCCCACTGGGCTGAGCAGAGGGTTTAGGAAAGTGAGTACTCTGGACATAGGGTACAAAGCTGGCTGGGGAACACAGCGTGGGGCTGAGAAGTTCTGAGCGACACAGAGGCCTTCTTGGGCAAGGGCA